ATAACAAATTTTGCTGGGCGATTAATTGTCTCAAAATTTATTGCGATAAGCGATAATATTGCCTGGTGACCGTTTTACAACTAAGAATTATAAAAGCATAATATGTAAGTGTAATAAATCAATAAACTTTCATTTTTAAAAGAATGTGGTTGAATCTGGTTGTCTGAATCAGACAACCAGATCCTGCATCCTACCATTTAAAATCATGAATTTAAGTTCGCCAACACAACAGACTTCCCTCATTTGTAAAAATCAAAGAAGTAACTAATGTGTGTTTTTTGTTAAAGCTGTTAACCAGTGCTACAGTGTTTAAACTGATGGTTCTTTCACCCAATAAAGAAAACCACAGTGAATGTTTTACCCAATCAGACCCAACCTCAGGCTCCTCCTGCAATGTGCCTCTGACCTGTCCAGGATTTTAATGTCTAAAATCTAACTAAACGTTAATGTAACTCAAAATCCTCAAAGGAGGAGGTAGCACCACAGCGGGAGTGCACTTTAATTTTTATAACAATATTAATGCTATAATATTCATATGCCTCAGATTATAACAGCAAAATTTGTCTTCATTTGACTTTTGTGTCATCACTTTAAAAAGTGTCACGTAGGGTTGGGCAATATTGGCAAAACTTTAATAACAATTAATTGTGGTATTTTGTAGGGGTGTAACGATACATCAATCTATATCGATTTGAATGGTTCATGATTCAGTTATATCGAGGCAAAATAAAAATATTGATCTATATCGTCGTCATATGCTTGATGGGAATCGATATCATATGCCCATCTAACACAGTCATTGTATTAGATGGGCATATGATATTGCATTATATCGTTCGCAGACATATGAATTGTTGAATCGAAATCATATCATGACAGACTTTGTGATATTGAGAAATATTGAATCATCATCCAGACATGTCGATGGAATATTGTATCGTAATAAAGCTGGTGATTTACACCCCTAGTATTTAGCCGATAACGATTAATTTGACAATTAATCCCCTGGAGTCCATGGACACCCTTATGTCCTGGTCACATGACCAATTTAGGTATACTTTTCACGTATACTTTTCATTGCCCGAGCTCCTTTTGTCAAGTTCATAAATCAAGGTCAAAGTTAAAACCAGGTCTTTGCTTGTCCAGCCCATTATTTTTGATTATCTCAAGATAATTAAATTAAACTTGATACACACTGTGTCTAGCAGTGGGCTAAACAACACAGTGTCGTGGGAAATGGATGACATGATATACAAGTTGGTGAGGATTTGAAAGAATAATGACGTCACAATACTCCAAGTTCACATCGAACTGTTTTGGATGCGACACCAAGCAGATAAAAGTTGAGAACTAGCATCATTTGTGGATGAAATTGAGTCACATTTTAAAGAGCGGCTCACAGAGGAGATTAGAAAACATAGAAACATCAATGAAGGAAAATAAGGACATTCAGAGAGCAAACAGAATCAGAATCAGCTTTATTGTCATTCACACACAACATCAAAGATGCAATGCAGAATGAAATTGCAGTTTAAAACATCCATTTGGAGAAAGACACACATAACAAACATGAAATAAAATCATAGTAGTAAATAGTTCAGACCCTGGGTAAGGGAAGTTCTTTTCTTTTGTTGTTTGAAAGCTAAAATGCAAACTATCTCTTCCTCCTCATTCTTGACGCCATGACTGAAATTGCGAGAAATTAAGGAATTTGTTAGGCAATCACAGCTCAAGTATGAAATCTCAAACGTCCACGGACAATATACGCAGAGTCCGCCTGGCTCATGGACTGTACATGGTACACCCGAGTATGTGGGAGTCTTAATGTTAAATATGAAAAGCAACAGCCTGCAAATGTTTTTACCATTCTGGAGTCAGGGTTTATGAAAATAATTATGCTCTAAATTGATATTGCTTGAAGATAATTGGGCCATTGCCAGGTTGCTGTATAAGAGTTTTTCAATTGGCCATATACAATACTTTTGTTTGTCTTGTCACTGCAGCTGAGTAATTTTTCAACAACACAAATTTGTGGGTGATAGTTATTGTGCATCGTCCCCAAATTGTTTTACCGTATATATTTAATACTTTTTTCAACTATTTCTTTTACACAGTGGTT